GCGAAGGCCCTTTTGCCGAAAGGTAAATTTACTTGATCCGGGGATTAGGATGTGATCATCTTCATGGGGGAGAGAAAGGTGGTACATTATTCAGTCTATCTTCATTACCATCTGCTATTCCTTTGAATTTCTTTTATTTCTTTCCTCCTCTACACCACTCAAGTAGCATGAACAGCTTTCTCTGAGTTCCTCCTCCCATCTCTGAACAGCCATGAGAAGAGAAGAGGCTGGAGCAGAAGATGGCCTCGAAAGTCACAGCACTCAATTGCTAGAGTCAGGCTCTTGAGAGAGAGAAAAGGCTGATTTGAATTCCAAAAACCTTCGTTTGGAAAATCACAATCTGAAGTCTGAAGAATGAGGGCATAAAGTTAATCTATCTATAATAGATTAGAAAGAGAACTCATTTGTTTCTGTCCAAAAGGGGATAAAGCTTTGTCCAGCTGGTCACAGCAGAAAAACCAGAAGGGACTGTCATGAATGTAGGATGAGTGGGTCCCTGAGAAGTCTGCAGCCCTGACTCACTGTTGAGGTCAACATTCCTGCAGAAGAGCAGACAATGGGGACCACAGTCATCGGAAGACTGTGATACTCCCCTCAGGGGCAACCAGATGTGGGTAACTTTTCAGGCTCTCATCCTCCAGGTGTGGGATATGGTGCACCCCACAGTAGGGAGCACCAAAGATGTTCTTATTTCCCCCAAGATGGGAGTGGAATGACCTGAAAAGGAACCAGAGGACCCAAAGTTTAAGAAATAGAGAGAATTCAGCATTTAGGATCTGCTGCAGATGCACTAAAATAGGGACTGAAATGATGGGACCATATCCAGAAGACACCAGCAAAGGAAAAGGCAGCTCAGGCCTAGCCCTAACACTGCTGCCAGGTGACACAAAGCTTCTTTCCCCTGGATGCAGTGGCTGAACTATAATCCAAAATCGTGGAAGACAGAGAAGAGAGAGGACCCTGAGTTACTTCAGAGAAAGCCCTATTCTGACTACATTTAAAGCAAGAAGCAACTGACTCACCTTTACTATGTCTAAGGAAAATTAAGGTCAGGTGATTTGGGGTTATAGAAAACACCTAAATTATAGAGAGTAAAACTGAATTATTGGGGGACAGCAGGTGACATGGTGGTTAAGGCACTGGACTCCCACATGGCTGACCACAGTTCAAGCCCTGCACCTGATAGCATATCAGGCATGTGTACATGCATGCCCGAAATCCTGAGAGGAAAATGGAGAAGAAAGGACTGTGGCTAGGCCATTCCCCCTTGCAGGTAGTTTCTCACTTTCCCTCTCTCTGGCAATCTTACACATCCTATGACAAAAACCTAAAAGTGAAAACAAAAATAAAACAAATTACTTTAGAAGGATATTCAGGGGAGATTCTGTTCTAGATGAGTTTAGCAAGGGTCTCCCAGAGGAAGTTTGGACTGAAATCTGTAGGTCTACGAGCCTTTTGTGTCATTTTGTCATCTCCAGATCTTTGAGCCTCCTTAATACTTTTTGAAAATGTCATCGCAGTGTGTCCTCTCTGCACCCAGGTGGAGAGCAATAATAGGATGGCTAGCATTTATGGAGAATTTGCTGTAGGACATTCACTTCTCTATCTGACTGGCTCATGCCTGGAGTTATTAACAGAGTGTGGTCTATCTTCATATAGTATTGAAGGGGTCAGGGGGCCCACAACCACAGGGGGAGCCAGCTTTGGGAATATGAGTGAGAAACCACAGGATGAGGGCAGACCCCAAATTGAAGATTCAGGGCTAATTCCTTTGTGTCCTGGTATTGTAGAGCCCCACCCAGCCTCCATAAGTTGCATTCTATTCCCTGCATCTGACACTCTTGTGCTTGCCTTGGGGTAGGGAGCAGTTCTTACAGTTTCCAAATAAATATTGTGCATCTTCCTACACTGCCATTTTTAGTTTGCTTGTTTGTTCCATGACAGAGAGAGAGAGAGAGGAGAGAGAGAGTGTGCCCAGGTGCCCCCAAAAGGGTCTCCATACCATGATATGCCCCTAGATTCAGCCAGCCTGGATGGCAGGCACATGCATGCACAGCTGGCATGTTCAAGGAGACCTCAGGAGACAAACCTGAGACCTTCCTATTTGGGTTCAGCACTACAGAACATTGTGTTACCACGTGTCACTCTGACTGGTCCACTACTATATCAATTTTCTTCTAAGATTTGGGTGATAGTAATGAAGCATTTAATTAGAAATAATTTCAATGTTTTGGGACCAGCAGATGGTGTAATGGTTACATGGCTGGACTCCCACATAGTTGACCGTGGTTCAAGTCCCAGACTTGACAGCTTAAAACTCATGCCAGGCATATGTGCGTACCCAAAAAAATCCCAAGAGGATGGAGGAGAGGGGATTGTGATGTGGCCATCCCCCCTGCTGGGTGATTTCTCACATTCTGTCTCTCTGTCTCTCTCTGTCTCTCCTGCAAACACACGTGCCCTGTAGCAAAAATCTCACCAAAAAAAAAAAAAGAAGAAAGAATTTCAATGTTTTCTTCAGAATATAAAAAGCATGCACAAAGTTTAAGCAACATACAGAAAAGAAAAGCTGAAGAATGGTACCATGTCCAGCTGAATACCTACCACCTAAATCAACTGTCAGTAATTGCTGTATCTGACCAGATAGTTGGTGGTAGTGGTATTGAACTATTGAAATGTAAATCACACACATCTAATTAAATATTTTAGTTTGTATCATTTGAAATATAAACATTACAAATAAGGTTCATTATCACAGCTCACTATGAAATGATAATTTACTAATCTTTATTTTTAAATTTTTGCCAGAAGGCATGTGTACTCACTGGAGAGAGAGAGAAAGAGAGAGGGGAAGTGAGAAAGCAACCCTCCTTCCTATGGGAATGGTCATACCACAATCCCTTTTCCTCCATTCTCACTTCTTTTGGAATTTTGGGGCATTCATGCACATGTACCTTGTGTGTTTCTCAAGCTGCCAGCCAGGGCTCGAACCCCATGGTTGACCATATGGGATCTAGTTGCCTTTACCACATGCCATGGACTGGCCCAATAATTCCCTAATCATGTTTAATGTCCATAGTATAATTATACTTAATCTATGGTCCCCAGATGTCTTTTACAGTTTGTTTAATTTCTAGCTAGGATCTCAACAAGTTTTATATACTGCATTTGTTATGTTTCTAAATTGGAATGACCTCCCACTTGCTTTTAAAAATGCTGACCCTTTGAAAAAGCCGATCTAATTGTCTTAAAGAACATCTCATGTAGTAAATTCGCCTGATAGTTTCTTTCAAGTATTGTATAATTTGTTCTTTACCTATAGACTGCCAATCTTTCATAAGTTTTTCAAAGGTTTTTTTCCATAGCCACATGCACTCACTGGAGAGACAGTGAGAAAGAAAGTAAGAAATAACCCCAGAGAAGGTTTTTCTATTCTCCTCCTGGGATTTTGGGCCCTGCCTGGGAGGTTATTCCATTCTCTTCCTGGGATTTTGGGCCCTGCCTGAGTTTCAAGCCATGGGTCTGGACTCAAACTGCATGGGAGTCCATGTGGGAGTTCAGCTCCTTAACCACCTGCCACTTGCTGATCCCTATAAATAGTTTTTAAAACATGCATATTTTAATAATTTTCACTATTTATATTTTATTATAATCAGGACACAGATTTATCTTGATCTTGGTAATTTTGCTAAGTATGTTACATGCATTGCATTATGGACTCCTCATAGCAACCTAGAAAGATGATATCATGACATTTTTATTATAACTACTTTGCCAGTAAGGACAATGATCTTTGAAGTGTTTAATTATTTTCGCAGGATCACAGAGTGAGGGAGTAGACCACTCTACCCTTTCCTGTCTGCAAAGTCTGAGCATGCTTCTAATATAAACCTCATGCCTATGTCCCCGACCAGTACACAGGCTCTTTGAGGGTGCTTAACACAGGGCACAATGCCACTGCCTCAGGATTGATTCATAAACGTGACTGCTGAGTGACTGCAGTCCCGAGCCACAGCCTGCATTGATGATAGGTTACAGATCAGTTAAACGATTGAACAAATGAATAAATGAATGATAATATTTAGGAGGCACTAACTTGGCCTTAGAGATTTGAGATTTATTAAAATTTGGGAAATTATTAAGATTTGGAAAAAATGAACAGGACTGGTTTTAATAACGGTCCTTAAAGAGGACCTGTACATCTCATAAATGACAACCATCCCTTTGCTGTACTCTTGTAGTACTCCTGCATTTATTTCAAGTTTTCAGACAACATATTATAAGGACATTTCAGGGGGCTTTTTTGTTTTGTTTTTTTTTTTTAGAGGTTTTTGCTACTGGGCACATACATTTGCCACAGAGAGAGACAGAGAGACAGAAAGTAAGAAATCACCCCCCCAGGGGAGATAGCCACGCCACAATCCCTTCTCCTCCATTCTCCTCTCAGGATCTTAGGCACACACGCACATGCGCTTGGTGTGAGTTTAATCCACTGGGTCCGGGACTTGAATGGTGGCCGACTACATGGGAATCCAGCGACATAGCCATTACCCTAACCTGCTGGTCCTGGAAATTTCAGATTTTACACTTGAAACTTTATCACAGGTTTCCATTTACTAAAACACTTTCTCTAAAGTGAAAATTTTCTCCCACTGTCTCTTGCAATCTTCGCTCCTTAGAAGATGACTTTAAAGAATGAACACAAGTAAACCCTTCATGTAGCTAGAGCATTTGCAAAAGGAGAGTTGATGAGAAAATGTCTTCCATAATTCTCATGAGACCAAACGTCTACGTTTGGCACTCACACACTTATCACGCACCTTCTAGATCAGATGATGAATTGGACAGGGAAGATGCTATTAGCTCCTATGGCTAGGGGCAGTGGCTCTACATTGCTCAGAATTAATGATGAATATAAGCACAAATAATGTGTATTTTTGTGACAGTTAGAAAAGTTTTTTAAAATTTTTCTTCTAAGAATATCAAAAAAGAAGAAAAAAAAAAAAGTCAAGAAACTTCCAGTGTTCTTCGATCACTAGTCCTCAGGCAGGTTTCTATGAAGAAAAGGTCATGACTGTTTCCACAATGTTTTCCAATAAAGATTGGTCAGGTGTCTGTCCTGTGTAGGTGCAAGCATTCTTGACAAAGTTATGTTAAACAAGTGAAGGTTCCTGGAAGAAAATCAGATGTAAAAGAATGACTTAGCATGAACTCAATAGCCCACTCAATTTCACCTACTTTGTTTAGTTTTCAAAGGATAAATCTAGACCCACACTAGATTTTTTTTCCTGATAAGTAATCCCTCCATGAGCAACTAACAAGGCTTGCTGGCATTCAGACAATCATTTAGAGCTGTGACACTTATAAAAAGGGACTCGTATTTCTGGTCTACATTCCTAGAGATTCTGATTCAGAAGATCTGGTATTTGCTCAGAAATTTCTACTTTTAAATACTTTGGGGATTATTCTGCACAGAGCCATGTTTGGGAACCATAAATGTATAATTATTCAAAGTCAGCAGCAGGGTCAATATACTTTCAAAGAGGATTAATTTGCTGCATGGTAAAATGTTAGATCATCTCAGATCTGAGGCAAGCAGTCAAAGCATCTCAATCTTGGGTGTACTTTAGAATCACTTTGGGGAGATTTTCACAAATGAGATCCTTTGCCCTCTTTCCAGATTACTGAAATCAGAATCCCTGTAGTAAGGTCAGGGGATTGTTATTAGTTATTTTTTAGAGGTAGAAGATAGCGTTAAATAAAATCTTAATCAAATGCACATCACTTTGGTGGCCTATTGCTGACTTTTGAGGTCATTCCAGATGGAGAAAAAAAGTTCTACTTGTTTAATTAACTCAGTGATATTCTCTATGCCTTGCAAATTGCATAGAATGTAACACTCTCAATTAGAGAAGGTTGATCTTACCAACTTCATTTTAAAGTAAAGAAAGTGATGTTTAGAAAGTATTGCACAAGCTACAATTGATAGAACTAGCATGCAGGCTTACAGTATAGCCCCGAGGACAGTGATCTTGTTATTGCACCACACATTTTATAAGGATTAGTGCTGAATTTCATCTCACACTAGTTAAAGGTTATTTTATCATTGCTTTGTAAAGATCCCTGTGACTCTCTAAGCTTGACTTGAATGGCAGATAGGTGTCCAGGGCAGGGGTGAGGACCCACACAATCACATACACTCATAGAAGGTAGATAGTCAAGTATAAACTGATTTTCTGTGATGTTCAGAATTTGCATCTTATTAAAATATGATATGAACAAGAGAAAAAAATCAAAGACAAGCAGTTAAGTAAATCAAAAATTTGCAAGGAAAAGAATAAATGACTCAGTGACAGAGAGTGAAAACAAGATAACATAATATATATATTTAGGATCAGGCTTTCTAATTTACTGCAATCTGTGGTTCTCTGAATCTGACTACATTGGGTATAATTATTTCTGTCTAAATAATTTTGCAGACTTGCAGCATAATAACTCTGGATCACAAATAAGAATCAACTCCGCTGTGCTCACAACACAGCAATAATTATGTTCTTGAGTTGGTACAGCTCCTTACAGCTTGGTGCAAAGTAATTATGTTTTTTCTTGGTGCAAAGCATATTAACCTGTGGAAATTACAAACCATGAAGTGTAAGAAAAATCTGTGTTTCTAATGCGAAAATGCCAGATTTGGCTTCTGAAAATTCCAATCCAAGTGAATTAGCTGGCATGGCAAGGTCTCCCTGGTGGAAACTTCTGGTCACTGGTGAGGTCATCAGCTTCCTACATGGACAGGGAGAACTTTTAGTGAATAAGATGTGAAAATAGTTGTCTAAGTGCCCAGCAAAGCTGGAAATGTGCATTTGATTGTGGAGAGAGCACTAGAGTTGTTGAAATTTATTCAGATTGATACCTGTGGTTTTAGTCATTCATTTTTATGCGGTATATTGCTTTCCATGAATATACCACAATTTGTTTATCAATTAGTGGTTGCCTCTGGGGAGTGATGAGGGTTGCCATGGCATTGAGTGGAATGTGATTGAAGAAGAGTGCCCAGCAGGTTCTACTGTATTTGTGATGCTTTACTACTTCAGTTGGAGAGGGACTGTGCAATATGTGTTATCTCATTCGCCATGTTTTTCTTCATCTGAAATAATCAGTAACTTCTTTTTATTGTCACAAAAGAAAGAATACAATTCAGAGAAGATGGCAGGGGGCATATATTTTGGATCTGTCAGTAGTGCCACATAAGATAGAGCAACTCCATAGCAAGTCAGAACCCATAAACAAAATTTACAACAAAATTACCAGGAAAGAAGATGTTCCTGAAATCTCCAAAATGCAAACAGGTGGAGAAAAATTTCCAATAACCATCAGACATTTGGTACCAATAAGGGCGAAAGCAGAAGAAAGATCTAAAAACAGGAGGACACCTAAAGAATCAGCAAGAATACGCTGGTGAGCACAGCATGCTTATCGAGAACAGAGCTGAACCTTTGAGATATTTAGCCTGTTCCAATAATGAGTTGTGTCAAGAGACCTGGATTAAGAAGGTTTGAAGGGATTGGAGCTGTCTAATTCCTGTGAACTCTGGACTCCTGTCTAGGATAGAGCTCCAAATTAAAAACATATTATTACAATTGCAATCAACATTGAAAAATAGAAGCTAATAAAAATATTAAATGATGGGACCAGCAATTAGCATAATGGCTATGTTGCTGGACTCCCATGTAGTCAACTGCAGTTTGAGTCCCGGACCCAGTGGCTTAAACTCACACCAGGCACATGTGCGTGCATGCCCAAGATCCCGAGAGAATGGAGAAGGGATTGCAGCATGGGCATCCCCTCTCCCCCGGGGGCAACTTCTCGCTTTCTATCTGTCTCTCTCTGTCTTTTTGGCGAGCACACACGCCCTATAGCAAAATCCTCTCAAAATAAAAATAAATAAATAAAATATAAAATGAGATAAAAATCATAGGGGTGGAGGAAACAGTCAAAAAAAATCATAAATTACACTATCATATTTTGAATAACATGTAAAAATAAAAAGTTTATGAAGTTAGAAAAGTTACATTGGAGTCAAACCTTTCTTTCTTTCCTCCTTAAAGAATTATTTTATTTAACTTTATTTTTTTATTTTTAATTTAACCAGAGTGAGAGAGAGAGGGAAAGGGATTTTGGGCACACACACACACATGTCCCCAAGGCAAGCCTCCAGGTCTGGGATTTGAACCACGGTCAACCGTGTGGGAATCCAGTACCTTTTACCAACACACCACCTGCCGGCCCCTGGAGTCAAACCTTTCTAAAAGTTCAGGAAAACTAATTTCATATAAAAAGTGACAACAGAATACTATTAAGATCAAATTTCATATAAGATTACAATATAAAAAATGCATTACAAAGAAGAATTACATACTTATAGAAATGAAAATATTTCTAAAAAACATAGTAACAAAAATTAAATCAATTTTAAAAGGTACCAAGATAATATAACATAAATCAGAATTAGAAAAATTCAGAATAAGCTAACCAAACTCAAGAAATAATTAAAAATACAACTTTAGTTTCAGGACCAGCAGTTAGCATAATGGCTATGTCGCTGGACTCCCATGTAGTCGACCACAGTTTGAGCCCCAGACCCAGTGGCTTAAACTCACAACGGGTGTGTGTGCAGGCATGCTCAAGATTCTGAGAGGAGAATGGAGAAGGGATTGCGGCATGACCATCCCCCCTGTGGGGTGATTTCTCGCTTTCTGATTCTCTGTCTCTCTCTATCTTTCCGGCAAGCGCACGTGCCCTATAGCAAAAACCTCTCAAAAAAATGAAAAAAAAAAAACCCAAAACTTTAGCTTTACCTACTGTGGTGTGTGCTACTAAGACACCATGCTCCATAGATTGGGACCACATAGGATGCCTGGGTTTTATTTCTGGTCCAGCCTAAAAGTCATGCATGGTGGTGTGTGCCTATAATCCCAGTGATTCAGCAGGCTCAAGTAGGAAGAATGTTAGCACAAAGCTGGTCTTGACAAAATAAGGAGACTTTGTTTACAAAAAGAGTCAGATGCTGATCAGTAGGTGGCATGGAGGTTAAGGCAGCTGGATCCCACATGCTCAGCTTTGTGGTTTGAGTCCCAGACTAATAGCTTGGAGATGCACTGTGTTTGTACACATGCATTCTCAAAATCCTGAGAGGAGAATGGAGAAGGGATTGTGATGTCGCCATAGCCCCCAGGGTGGGTGGAGAGGTGCCGGGGTCCAGCCTTGGCGGGGGTGGGTTGACTCATCAGAGGCGGTGCAGGTGAACAGAATTAGGCTGAAATCTCAATGCTCCTTAGCATGTTCTCAGGCGGGTACAGCCAGAGCAAAAAACTCTGGACAGCAGCCCCATGGCTATTAAAACATGTGTATTTATTGAGGGAGGTTTAGGAAGTAAAGGGGCTGAGGGGTAGTAAAAAATCTACTTTAAGGAACAGGGTATACAAAGAATGGAAACAATTATTATAAAACATGCTGTTTGTCTTGTCAGATTAGGTAAAAATCAATTGCAGTATTTAGGATGAGGAAGTCCGTTTGTCTGTTGTATTTTCTTCTTAGATCTTGATTACTGGGTAGGGTCCTTTGAAGAGGGGTCTTGCAGGATGTTTGATAGCCTCAGTCCCAGACTAGTTTGATAACTTTAGTCCCAGGCCAGGGCGGTAACATTGCTGATTACAAAGACCTAGATAGAAATCTTGTCTTGTTAAGTAAAGACACAGTTAATATATGGACTAATGGACTATCTATATATTACAACAATAGAGGGTGAGTCTATGATCTTATATGGAAAAGGAAGATGATCTTGTAGCTCAGGAGACAACACAGGATGTTTTATTAGCAGTTTTTCATAGTCAACAGCACATAGATGAGAAACTCTTTGTAGTTGAAAACTACCTGTTGCTTTAGATAAGAGCTCCCAGCTAAGGTAGTTAATCTTTCTCTGGAGCCCTCAGGTTTGTTCATCCTGTCCTCACCAGTCAGACTTTTCCTTTCTTAAAAAACCCATGGGTTTTTGTTTTATTTGCTGTTTGTCAATTAGTGAGTTCTTTTGTTTTATCTCCGGTGAATGTGCTGACTTTCCCTAGCAGAGCTAACTTTGGCCTCTAGCTTTAACAAGGGATATTTATATAAAACTAGCCTTAAACTAAATTAATCTACATATGTTACTAATGCTAATTTGGCTTATACTAACTTAATCTTAACATATGTTAATTTTGGCTAAAACAGACAGGTGGGGGAGTCTCAAACTTCCTGAGAGCTTGAGAGAGCTCGAGGAGGAGCTCCAGCTCCTCTTAGGGAATCACATTCCTACAAGATCACTAATTGGCTTTATTGTAATGGTTGGGGGTGATATTTTACCCTTGTAAGGTACCGTAATAACAGTAAAACTCACGGCAGAGAAATTAACTACAGGCCAGTAAAACAACACAAGGAGGGTTAGTAAATCGCCGGCCTTGTCTTGCAGTTTCTTCCCAACCCAGGCCTTGCCTTTAGACGTGGGATACAGCCTCTTTACCAGCTTGTGTTGTCTGCATGGCCCCGTCAGAGGGGATGTCTCACTTTTCCATTCTCTCTATTTCTGTGTCTTCAGTGACCACACAGAATAACCAATAAGATTACTATAGTTAAGTTACTAGATATAGTTAAAAAGAAAACCAAAAAATTATTTAGATATCTAGGCAAAAAGAAAATGTGATTTAAAAGGAAAGTAAGGCCAGCCAGTGCATGCCGATTAAGGCAGATGGATCCCACATGACCAACAACATGGCTTAAGTCCCAGACCTGACATCTTGAAAAACACACCATACATAAGCATTGTATGTTCAAGTACCAAAAGGAGAGAGAAATGGAGGAGAAGAGATTGTGATGTGGCCATGTCCCATAGAATTTGCTTTTTCCTTCTCTCTCTCTCTCTCTCTCTCTCTCTCTGGTGAGTGCCTATTGCCTCTGGCAATTTTTTTTTAAAAAAAGGAAAATAAAATTGGATTATGATCACAGGATATTTTTTCCAGCACTATGTTATGCCAGAAGAAAATAAACTAGCATATTTAAGATACATAAAAAAGAAAACACCATAGTTCCCCTTTATCCATGGGGGAATATGATCTAAGGTTCCAGTAGATGCTTGAAACCACAGATAGTACCAAGTCTGATGTATACTATATTTTTATGTATTGGATTGTCAGAAAAATTTCTACACAAAAATGTGCCATGACACATTTTCTGACAACCTGATACATACATACATATGATAAAGTCTAATTTATGAGTTAAACATAGTAAGAGATTAACAACAACAAATAATAAAAAATACATTATAACAATATATAGTAGGAAAAATTATGTGCAGAATGTATCTCTCTCTCAACATACCTGACCTTGATTGACCATGAGTGACTAAAACTGTGAAAACTATAAAGGTGGATAAGGGGGGACTATTGTGTGAGCCAAGATTTTATATACAATGAAGTTTAACTTCAAATATAAAGAACATAGACAAATGGTTACGAAGATAGATGAACTCATAAAACATTGTTTGTGTGAGATCTTCCTAAGAAACCATGTGAAGAACAAGCTTCAGATAATCAAAATGACCAGAGTTATCAATATAAGGGTGGATAGTGAGCATTAAATATATTTTCCCTTGTAAAATGAAGACTAAACATAAGCTAAAAGGATATATCATTATACATAATGGCTAAAATTAAATATAATTGGTGATAGAAGTATTACAATTGTTATCATCATATGCTAGTATGTATAAGCAGAATAAAACAAATAAATAATTGTAAGGTATTCTAATTTGATCATCCCCTATATCTTTTAGAACCCAGACTCCTAGTGTGATAAAAAGGAGATTCAGGAGTCGTACAGTAAAAGTCAAGTTAAACCCTATAGTTGTGAATCTAATTTGAAAATATTAGTATGAACTCATAAGTTAGTTTATCTTTATTTGGTGGGGAAGAGGGAGAAAAAGATTATACATATACACACACACATATATATATATACACACAATCTTTTAACTCTGTCCACTGTAGCTATGAACATCCAGTGACAATGAATATTCTAAGAACCTGGATTGTACTCATGAAATATTATTTCCCAGTAAAAGAATAAGACATTGTGAAAAAATTGATTTCAGGTCTAGAGCAGCGAATATAGAAAATGAATGTGAAATGTTATATAATACAGATAATAAGACTACCTCCCCTGGCCAAATATGGGACAATTATAGTGAGTTTCAACAAGACAATCGAACTCCAAGAAATATGTTCAAATCCATAATTTGAATTCATAATGACCATTTAAATAATTAATTTGTCACCTCTGGAGACTACAGATACCAATTCTGTATCTTGGAAGCTGGGAAAAGAGTAAAAACAATCAAGCACTTACTCTGTCTTTCCTATAGGAACTATGCCATTGGATAACCAAATTGTAGATGAGGAAATTTATCTCCTCTGAGATTGTTCCAATAAATACATGCAAGTGAAATGACAGAATCAGAGCCTTACCATTCTACAACCTCTCAGTAAATTAATCAGTTCAGGTGCTGAACATCATGAGTATTAACAGATCCATGTTTCTCCTCATAAAAGGACACAACCTGTAGTCTTGCCAATGGAGTCTAACTTGAGTCTGATCCATCTGCAAAATTCCACGAAATAGTACCAGGGACATGCTAATCACATAGTCAACAAAGCTCAATCTATGGGAGATTGTAAATCAAAAGGCCTGGATTCTTCTCCACACAAATTTTAAAGAAAATAAATGGATGACAATTACATAAAACTTTAAAAACCTATCAAAGTTTCATACAGCCAAGATTAAACTAGAGTATCTAAAGATAACTTGGGTGACAAACACAGAGGCTCCCAAGGATGTGATTACTAGAAAAGTTTGATAATGGTGACATAGAGAGAAAGACATAATCTGTCATTGGAACAGGGCACATGAAGGAATTTATGAGGCAAGTTCTGGCTTTTTGACTAAGATGATAGCTCCAAGATTATTTGCTTTAAAATAATTCACTAAGTTACTCAATAATTAAATAAATAGTAGATGAAAGTAAGAAAACTAGATTTGGATTAAAATCCATTTAGCATTAAAATCATACATATGCCCTTGTTAGCCATTTCCTTTGGGAAGTTCTTAGCTTTGCTGAGACTTAGTTTTTCTCATCATCAAAATGGAGTCCAACTTGCAGTGTAGGGGTAAAAACATGCTTCTTATCTCCATATTTTTGTCAAGATGGAATAAAATGTGATAACGTAAGTAAATTTCACTGAGCCTAGCTGATTAGCATTAAATAAGACCGTGGGAAATGATCTTAGAATATAAATATGGATCCTAAACGTCTACAGGCAGCTTTTCTTTGGAAATAGAAGGTCTGGGTCTACCAGTTCACACTCTAAGTGATGAAGGAAGTTACTTTTAAAATAGGAATAAAAATAATACCTGTGGCCCCAGGTGATTATGACACCTGAAAGAAAGGACAGGCATGGACTCCTTGTGCACTATCAATTCTTCATGGAGAGAGAGTGACAGACATCATCTTCCAGCACTCCAGCAGGGGTGGTCTGTCGAATGGCAAGTGGAAAAATTAATTGTCACAGTGGTTGCCCCCGTCAATGCAACATTTTCAAATATGCAAGTGTGTTTGTGTGTGTTTAAACATAATAGAAAAATCTTTATTGAGTAATAGCTATGATTCAGGAAGCAGTACAAGGCAATTTATGTGGATTAAAGTATAAGCAACAGTATTATTATCCCTCCTTATGAACAGAGAGACAGAAATGTAGAGGATTAAGTCACAAGCTCAAGACAGGAGCTACAGATGGGTGGAAGCAAGATTCATATAGGCTGGCTGGTGACAGCCCAGCTCCTCTAAAATGCCCAGTAAAGAATGTATGGGTGAAAAAGAAGAATATTGAAATCATCTTCACCACTTACCTGTTCCCTCCTGGGATGTCCCCATACACCAGCTCCAGGCACAATTCCGCCAAGGAGGACCTTGCTCAGGGAATCTGCAGCCACAGCCGAAGCCTGTAGCCCCCACGTTTCACTGCCATCCTGTGCATGGAATTGCCTTGGAACCATGATCTTGAATCAGTTCTTAGGAGGGTTTTGTCTCCTTTGAATCTTCATATTGGTGTTCTGGCTGCCTGGACTTAAAGGTCACTTTGTTGGCTTTTTTTGTTGGCAACCTCCACCATGATGCTTCAATAGGCTGCTGCTATGTGAATAAACATGAACTTCGCAACAGTTTTTTGTTGAAAAATTGCCTTTTTCGGGAACCAGCAGTTAGCGTAATAGCTATGTCTCACGTAGTTGACCGCGGTTCGCATCCCGAACCTGGTGGCTTAATACTCATGCCGGATGCGTGTGCGTGCATGCCCAAGATCCTGAGAGGAGAATGGAGGAGAAGGGATTGCAATGTGATCATCCCCCCTGGGGAGTGATTTCTCGCTTTCTGTCTCTCTGTCTCTCTCTGTCTGTCTGGTGAGAGCACGTGCCCTATAGCGAAAACCTCTCCAAAAAAAAAAAAAAAATTACCATTTTCATCTACTAATTCTGTTTAAAAGCTGAAGGCAAATAACCCAGAAGTTAAGACTTTAAATGTAGGGGCTAAATTAAAATGGGTTCCAATCCCGTCTTCATCATTTTGCTTACTAGATGACCTTGGACATGTTCTCCAACTTCTCTGCCTGTTTTAGTTCTCTCATTGGTAAGAGGGGAACAACACTGCCTACTGAATGGAGTTGATGGGAGGATTAAACATAGCACAGTACTAGGCTCAGTTACTGAGTTACTAAGTTACTAAGTTACTCAGTTACTAAGTTCTCAGTAAAAGGTAACTTCTAGTACTTTATTGTTATTACAATGAGTTCCAAATTGAAAAGACATGATCTGTATTTGCCTTCAAACAAATTTTCTTCTTTTCAAACAAGTAATTGAAGATTAACTTCCACAAATACAAAAATACATATGGTCAACTTTATTAACTGTGACATTTTTTGAAAGAGCAGTGATTGGAGTCAATCCAAACGCTGTTAATAAGAGATTAGTTGAATAAATTATTGTACGTACATGCAACTGAGTACTATAAAAAAGGTAGCCAGGAAAAATGTAGGAGAGATAGCTTCTTGTACTGGTTTGAGGTGATCCCAATCATGTGCTGTTACATGAAAAAAAAAAAACAATCAAATGCTATTTTGGGGGTAAGAAAGAAGAGGAAATAAATATATGTGCGTATGCTGACCTATCTTTAAAAATAAAAATAAAGCAGCAAGAATAGCTAAAAATGAATGAAAATGGTTGCCTATAAATGGCAGGGGTGGAGGGAAGCAGAATAAAAAGAGGGCAAATACAGATGGAAATAAGACTTCTTAAAGAATACTTTTTCATATATTGATACTTCTGGCTTTTGAATCCTAAAAATGTTTTATATTCAAAAAGTAAAATCATATCCAAAAGGACCCCAAAAAATCCATGAAGAAAAATCAAATGCAATCAATGAAACAAACTATATGATTATCTGCCATACAGAGAGTAGTTATCCCTAGTGACATTTAAACACAGACCTCAGATGGTCCATGCACAGTGAGAACCTCAACAAAAAGAACAGCAGATAAATTTAATCATTTATGGGTTTCATAGACAGAAATCAAAATATTATAATTTTGAAACAGATTTATATATGTTATAATATAGTAAAAAAATACTATTATTAGGAAATCATTTATTGGAAAAGAAAAGAACTATAAAGCCTAAAAAGTTAAAAACCAAAGCTTCTGATGTTAAATTTAGGTTCGAATCTCAGTATTAAATCATGAGATATTAACAAAACATTTAGCTTCTTCTACTAGGGACAAGTTGAATATTAACTTCCAGAGTTTAAATGGAAGATCAGACTACAGTAACACTGTACATTCAACAGAAGAGAGATTAATTACATGAGTCTGAACTAGTGAAATATATTTTTTTACTTTAGATTAAAACATTTCTGATTTTCTTTGATACTTTAATTTCCATATTTAAGGATTTTTTGTCTTCTCTTGAACTGTTGATAGGTTCATCTACCTACTATTTGAACTGAATCCTAATTTTTCCCTGGCTTTAGGTTTGTTTTTTGTTTTTTGAGTTTTTTTAAATATATTTTAGATTTATTTTACATATTCAAAGCACTGTATATGATTACAGCTTGTAAAATGAGAGGAAGGGAATCAAGGGGGAAAATAAAGAAGCAAAACATTTAAGATACACAAAGATGGAAAATTATCTGTTGATAATATCTTTAACTGGACTAATATACAGTGTATATCTTCCTTTGAGATTTGTCTTTTCAGATCAATTGACAATTTTTAAATGGATTACTAGTTCTTTGTTTCTTTTCTATTTTTGAAATATCTGAGTTCCTTATAAATCTTTGTTATTTTTTCTTCCATTTATTTATTTATTTTTACATTTTTCCACAAACATTTACATATAAAAAAATTCGCTCAGACTCCATAGTTCTTGACAGTTTATAAACAACTTTCAAAATTTCAAAATACTGAATTTGAAAGATAATGTTCAAAATATTTCCTATAATTTTGTAACTCTATGACAACAGAAACAGCATGGTTTTAAATATTTTTGAGAAAATATTTACATGTCAACTACTCAAATTGTTGAAAAGTGAATGTCCAGCACACTAGTCACACATAAACCTTCTCAATTCAGCCCTGCCTACCAAGAATTCTGCTGGCTTTAAATTTTAAGCAAATTTCTCTTAACATTTTTTATTTTGATCCATTAAAATTAAAATATTTTTTAAATTAAAAAATGCATTTAAAGAATACCTATTAATATCTATTTAATGACTGTACTAAGCTATATAGCCCCAGGGAGGTGTTACTTTATAGTATATTCACTTTACTCACTGAGGTTTATGCCCAAAATCAGATATGCATTCAAAGTCAGATATGCATTCATAAATATGTATATATCAGCTGTGCTTGATATTAAAAGTCTTTAAATTAATTAAGATCTTTAGTGAATCAATAAATAGTCAACGAAAAGGCAAGGAAAACAACTGTACATAAAGAGACAGTGTGAGAGAAGGGGGGCGTTGGCAGAGGGTAAAAGATAGTGGATCAAGGGGGGGAAAGGCAAAAAATATAAGAAACAAGAAATAGGAAATTATTTGTTGATGGTAACATGTGTGGTAATATCCTTGATTGAGCCAATATACAATATATACTCAATTGAAAATCTCATTTTGTATGCTATATTGATGTACAGTGAATGATTGCAAATAAATAAATAAGGTTAAAGCTAAAAACAAACCAAAAAAAAGAAGACAACCTAGGGGCAATGATACTTCAGTATTGATGAGTCTATCGAGCATCCAGATAATGGTTTCTAGATACCATTTTCCCATAAAAGGAAATAACATTTCTTTATGAAAAAAAAAAGACTCTACTTCATAGAATAGATAAAAATCTAGGAGTATATAGTGATACACCTTGAGAGGGGATTGAGGGAAGAATAATTGCCAACGTTGGAGACCACTATACACCAATTCCTTCTCTGAAAACTGATAACTGAAAAGGAAAAAGTATGAACTTAACGTTTTCTGAGAAACTATAGCTATCTCCAATTTATACTGGCAAGCTTTCCTTTCAGAAGAATGCCATCTAATGGATGTAGATATAGCGATAAAACCAGAAAATCACCATTCTACAGTCCTCAAGGAAATAACCAATATAGGCAAAGAGAATCGAATAATGTTATAACCATAGTGAAATGTTGGGACAAAATACTTGCATGGAGCCAAAGTACACCTTCGTGAATTGCTAACTACATACATGACTATACACAAGGGGGGAACTAGCCTTTATGGAAAGTTATCACCGTTATCCCTTAGCTAAGTGATCAGACTTAGTACCTTTATGTAGAATCTAACCAAACCATTAGACCTAATTGCTAATTCAGAGAAAATTTAAGGGATGAGGGAAAATTATCAGACAATGTCCCAGATAATAATTGTATAAATCTAGAGCATTATACAGTTTAGTCTAAGGCTCCATTTACTAAGTACTCATGTATCTGAATCTGTTCTGAGGCAGAGGCTTTGTGCCCTGTGTTGAGAGTTTAGAGAGGTAAGACATGACTTCACCCTTAAACAGGGTGATGCACAGTGATTAAATGTAAATTTAAAAATTGTTTAAAAGGCCATATTCTGGGAGGGTACAGAGGCATAACGTTTCTAGCATACTTGGACTTTGGTAACAGGAAAGGGTTAAAATCCTACAATTCACTCTGTAGTTTTTTAAAAGTAAATGAACACTTCAAAGAACAATATCCTGATATGCAAAATGGGTGTCATACATGTGTTATAATGTCTTCTTTTTACATTGCTGTGAAGATTTCATAAGACAATGCATATAACACATGTATTACAATATCAGGCTCAAAATAAATGTTATATAAATTCAGCTTATTCCTATTCTTCTTATAATAAAAGCTTGAATGCTGTAGAGTATGTGCAGACTGGTCAGTAGCCCCAGGTGATCACAGCTGAAGTGACAAATAAGTTTTATAATACCTGTCAACTCAAACTCATTGACAGGAGATTCCAGGAGTATTATATAGGCAATTTAAAACAAAATATCATGTTGAAATAGAAGATATCTCAGAAAACGAATTTCTTAAACCTTGAGTTCAATGGACAGGAAAAGTTGTTTCCTACAGCTTCTCCAGACTTCCTGTTTTTCAAAATAAATTTGAGACAGAAAGACATGGCAATATCTAGAAACTTAGGCAACTAGGAAAAGATACTGCTTCATTTTCTCCCCCCTTGTTATTCTCCCTTTGTACATGCTTGATTTTATGGAAAAATAATAGGGGATGTGGAAACAAGTACAAATTTCTTATGTTGAGATTTCCTAGTGTTTGGGGTGAACAATGACTTCTCATGTTGAGTAAGTACAGGAACCATAAGGTGGCAACAAATACTGTACTGACCCTCAACTTCTTTTTGAGTGGTCCTTGGTATAAATATTAAGGCAGGTGATGGAAGCAGGAGGGAGAGGAGGTTACCCTCCTAAGACTTGCCTGTAGTTGTTTCTCTGAAGGTACACCTAAGCGAAATTCAGGACATAGGGCTCAGAGGAAGTACCTCTGA